AAACAGAGGCAAAAAAATATATTGGCCCCTTCTTCCCCTTTTAGCAGTCCTCGCGTTTTTTGTCTATATCTGTAAATAAACTGGGAGTTGGGTGGAAGGTGTAGGAGCTAGTGGGTGTTTCAGCCACTCGCTCATGATAAGCAAAGGAAATAATTAAGTCTTATGGAACAGATAAGAAAAATAGGAGCCATCAGCCAAAACAGAAGTCATGTGAAATGCTGGTAGGAGTGCTAGCTTTCTGGTCAGCATTTGAATGGAGGTTGAATGCAAATGCAGGGCTCTAGGGCTGGGGAGCTCTATTTGCATGTGTGTGAGAGAGGGAGAAGCAGAAGATACGGCACCAAAGCATTGAGAGCAAGCAGAAGAAAATCCCAAAATGATCAGGAATAGCTTTGTCTAGGAAGGAAGGTTATAAGGTAGCTTTCTTCCTCACCCCCTTTTTTCTCTCAGTTCTCATCAGCTCATGGAGCTTGTGGGCAAATACCTGCAAAATCAAAGAAGATCAAGTGGTTGCATATCCATTCACTGGTCCCTTTCCTGTTTAAATCAGAGTTGAATCTACCTCTACTTGGAGCACGGCCCTGAGAAATATCTAGGAGATATTTCTAGGAGGTTTGGGGTAGCTTTGTTGCTGAAAACTGCTTGGGGATATAAGCAAATAAATCATTTCTTCTGCTTTTGATTCCTCCTGCACAAAGCAGTACCTCAAATATGCTTTTTATAGCGAAACAGAAATGTGCAAAGAACAACTTCACTCTGTCATCAGTAATTCTTCCTGAGAGTAACAACCTGCAAGGGGCAATAGGAGAAATATTTTGACCTGTAAAAGTTGCTAGCACTTACGAAATAAAACCAAATCTTGTTTCAATTAGAAATGTACCTAACATGGAAGATACCAGTGCCAGACCTGCCTGGACTCAAACCTGGTGCTAGTTCTCCTCACTCTCTCCAGCCTTGCAGAGAGGGTGTTGTGGAGAACTTGGCTCTGATGTGTTTGTGGCAAGGCTGTATCCCTTTTGCCTCGCAGAAATCGTCCCTCACCGGTTCCAGCCAAAAATTGGCCAAGGAGCCAGCATGACAGTGGGTTGGTGTGTCCTGCCTGCATGCGAGCTTTTCTGGTGAAAGCTTGTTGCTGAAAGCTTGTCCTTCTGATGGCACGGGCTGTTCTCTAGCCCCAGCACCAGATCCTGAAGCCTAGCCTGTCCAGGTCAAATCCAGCACTTAGAAACTTAGGAAGAAGTGTCAATTAAATTATCTTATGTATATGAAGAACGATTGTGGCTTGGGTCCAGTGTGCTTTGGGAATGCTCAAACTGAAGTGAATTCACTGATGTGTAATACAACAAGAGACCTTTAAGGGATCTGCTGTTCTTTGCTATTTCCATTAAGTACAGCATGATCTGCTGTGTAGGAACATGACAGAGGACAGAGCTATTTTAGGCCTAAGCATAAAAGTGTCTGCAGGAGAACAGTAGAAAGGCACTGACTGGCCAGCAGTGGCTTTGCAGTAGGTGCTGGGTGTGCCCAGCTTACCCAGCTTGCCAGTTGCATGTTGAGTGTTTGGGCCTGGGACTTTCCGATAGAAGATCAGCGTAGCCTGGCTCAAGGTCTGCCAAAAACTTTGTCTTGCCTTCACCATCATCAGTTGCACAAAGGCTCTTGCTTACTCATGGTGCGGAGAAGTGCGGGTGAGAAGCCACGTTTTAGATTGGCCGGGTTTCAGGTTGGGAAAGTGCAGTGTTGGGGGCGCTGCATTCTGGAGGGTTGTTCCAGGCCTGTCCCTGTCCCTGGCAGCAGATCTCATGGCGCTGCAGTCTCAGCAGCACTGGCTCCCTCCAGCCCTGAGTGCCAACAGGCAAACTTTGCTGATTTGGAAACTGCCAGCCCAGTACTGAGTCTATGATGGACTGGCTTCATTCAATATCTAGAGTTTTCCTCTCCCTATCTAACACTTTCCTCATTTTTCTCCTTATTAGGACATCTCCTGGATAATTACTACATTTGTTTTCCCTAGTGATTGCTAGGTATTTCCTAACATCACTTTAATGCTCCTGTTTGTTGAAAGTGTCTTGTCCCCTGGATATCCTGGGTCCTTGCTGGTAAAGAGGAAGGCCAGGCTGGCAAGTATACAGACCCCTAAAGAGAGGGGTGAGTAAGATCTATTCCTTTTGATCAGATGTTAGCAGTATGTGATATATACAAATTTAAAAAAGACAATGAAACAAATAAGGAACAATTGGATTTTGTTTGATTTGACCCAGCTACACACATGCATAGTAAAGAATGCCTCATTGTGTGTCTTGTGCCCGTCTGTAGTAGATTCATGACAGGAGGCGTTCAGGATTTGTTCAGGTTTTTAAACAATTCTTAAGTATGAAAGGTTCAGAGAGCCTCGATGCTAGCAAGAGTCTCCTGGTGATTTCTGACCAGTCCAGGCTGAGGGTTTCCAGGCATGAGTGAAGAGCCCAGGCCAAAGCAGCAGCCAGAAATATCTAACCAGCTGCAGCGCCCACCGAATGGGCCGAAAGGGACAGGGTGTGTTCTGCCTTTGCTTCCCGTCCAGCTGCACCTGCAGGTAGCTGCTGAGCTCGAGTGTGTACGGGCCCTGAGCGCCTGATCACCTGAGCATTTACCTTTCCCACGCTCATGCTAGATGAAGGCTTGAGCCAGATTGTTTTGTTCACAGTATTCTCTCATGCCCGTTACTGAGTAAGGAAGGAACTCCTCGTTAATTTTGTAGCTAGCTGGCTGAATCCTGACTGGCAAGGCTGCATGTTGCAGTTTCACAGTAGGTTGATCTGCAGGTACAGAGCTGCCTACTTGCTCTTTCTTTATTTTAAAAGTAAACTTGCAAATCGAGAAGAAAAGGCTAAATGCAACATCTCCCTTATACGAAGAAACCCTGAAGCAAAACTTTGAAAAAATGTGATCTCTCACTGATCTTAGTCAACAGTTCAAACCTTACCAAGTAGTATCCTCCCAGCTCGGAGTTTGTAAGACAGAAGAAGAGATGTGTTGCACTCTCTGTTTTGCACAGCATCTTGGTCATTGCCCTGAATGAATGGGCTTGGTGTGCATGCCACCATTCATGTTTACCTTCAGGGAAGAAGAAATTAGGCTAGAGAGCACTATTTGCTGAGACTGGTATCTCATTTTGATATGCTATGTAAGGATTTCACTGAGAGTGGAATTTGGAAGCTATGACTACTCCTGTCTTCCTGTTTGATCTCTGTTTCTTTCATCCCAGCCACAGTGCAAGTACATGATGCATGAGATAGGGTGGAGACTCCCTGAGCTCTGTTTCTGCTGATACTGAAAAGTTCTTCTAGTTCTGTTACTTACTGTAGCTATGGCTACAGATAAATATTTTGTGTGTGGGCATCTCTGGTATTGGCTAAGCAAAACAAACCCCAAGTGTTTAAATTGTCATAGCAGGTCAGTTATGCATGTGCATGTGTACCCAGAGGGCGATAAGAAGATCTGTGAGGTGAAGGGTTCCAGATTATCTGTAGCTGAGTGTTGAAACTGTGAAGCTTGTATCTTTTGCTACTACTTTTTATTTTTGTTTCCTTCCAGCGTAGCAAAGATGTGCAGTTATACAGGATTAGTGCAAGTAGGTTACTTACTCGCACTTTGTTGGTCAGACAAAGTTATTTCCTTTTATTCCTCTCCCTGTCAGTCTGCCTTGACGCACCGCCTTCTGCACTCTGTGATAGATCTCACACACACACACACACACACACACACACACACACACAGATCTTTACAGGGCCAAACTCTAGGATTTGGGCTCAGATGAAGCACAGAGCCTGTGAGAGCCCTGCTGGAGCTCGCACCTGCTTGGTCGTTGCTGAAGCCAGTGCTGGAACTGAGGCAGGTAGCCCAGGCTGAGCTGAAATTACTGAATGATGTATAGCTAAGCAAAGGACACTTACCGTTTCAACCTAATATCAGAAAAAATCACTAATGATCAGAATACCTAGCAGTCCTTCTCTCAGGAAACCTGGGAGGGTCCTCTGAAGAATACGGAAGCAGGCCAGACAAAGGTACAAATAGACTACGGGATGTGGTGGATGCTGGAGAGCAGCAGAGAAGGGTCAGTTTAGCAATGTTAGCTAGCAGCCACTGGAGGCATAAAGAGGATAAACTCTGATTTGCAGCCACCAGAAGTATCATAAGATTAATTCATATCTTCAGCTGTAAGATGAGTTTGGATTGTGGTGTAAAACAAAACCAGAGCTAGCACCCAAGGCCTCTGGCCTTAGTTCCTGAATTGGATTTAAATTGAGTTTTTTTCTGGCAAAGCTCCCACTGAGCAGAGGTTTTGGCTCCAATCCATTTGATGTCTGAATACCTGTGAAGATCTGAGCAGTGCTGAAAATAGTCAGACTACATTCCTTGGCACATCAGGTCGGGGTAAGGGACACTGCTGGGCAAGGAGCTTGTGGCTGGCTTGCTCCCTCTTTTGTACTTCTTTTTTCCCAATCTGTTATGACCTCAAGAGCATATTTGTAATGTCAGAGCCGCTCCATTTTATGGAATAGTTTGATGAGGGCTAATGGGTAATTCAATTTATAAGGGTATGCAAGGCCAGTGGATATTTCCAGCTTCTTCACACCCAGCAATCTTTTCTCCTCCCTGCATCACATGCATAATGAAGCATTGTTGATTTTCTTTTGACTATGGTCAAGCAATCACAGCTTTGCAGTAAAATATGAGTTCTGAGTTTTGCCTTAAAATCACAGAAAATTGTTAGCTTTTTAAAAGCAGGCTGCAGGAATACCTAATACACATCCTCCTCTAGAATTCTTATTCTCATTAATTTTTATGAGGTGATTGCAAGGTGTGGAGAGGGTGTGGTCTTGGTGCTTTTATAGCTGTGTCTTCTTTCCTGTTTATACTGAAGTCCTTATCAGATTAATGTGAGTTAGCACAGCTGTAACTGCCTTCTCATCCCCTTATGCACAGGCTAATGAACAAATGTTGATCTTTTCTTTAAGGCACAGAGAATGAATTCTGTTCTCAGCCCTCCTTCAGACTTACTGGGAACCTGCTCAAACCTAGTAACCGCAGTGCGCTTTGGATCCGGCTTTGTATATGCATATGTGTGAGTATTGATTTCTCCTATCTGTGAAAAGAGCATGCTATCTCTCCAGAAGAAATATTTTTAGGCCAAGTTTGTGATGTTTTTCAATGTACCTGCCATGCAGGGATTATAGAGGATTATTGCCTGTAAAACCATTTGTTCGTTCAGGGCAATGCATCCAGCTGTTACGGGAGAACGTCTAGTGTTTCACATCATCTCAACCCATATCTTTATTTTACTGGGACAAGATTTTTCAAACAGAGCCCAAATATCTGCAGCTGAAATTGCTCAACTGAAGTTTCATGCATGCAGATTTTCAGGCTGCTTTGAGCATGCAAAATCTAGGTTAATGTGCCAAGACTCCAGTGAGTGGGAGCCCTGTTCATGCGCTGGATATAGTTTCAATGAGCACACCTCTCACCCCTGCAAAAATAGGAACTTAAGGATGCTCTTCTTAGAGGTAATAAACTAGCCAGCTCCGTTTTTGGAGTTGGACTGTGGGACCTTGGACAAGTAGCCCTTTGGGCATTGAAAAGAGCAAAAAAATCACATGTAAGAAAATAAATATTTAGTGTCATACACTGATGATGACCCCTGGAGTGATATGATATCAGTGCAAGGCAGAAACAAAGAAGCTGTGGCTGCTACCAGGTTCATTCCCCTTTGCTTTCTGCTGACTAGCACAGCAGAAATTTAGGTCACACTACTCTAAAGCAGTGCATGGGGCTATTTTCCTTGTCTGTTCTGCTTAGCAAATTCATGAATATCTGAGTCCTGCT